CTGGTGCCTGAAGGGAGAGAATTAGCCAGTTGAGCCACTGTACCCAAACCATCATGCATGTTTTCATCACTGACATGCCCACTGTGCCGCTTAAGAAAGTGCTTGATCCGATTACATTAGTGTCTGGAAAAGCAGTGGGATGACCTGAGTACTTGGGCCTCTGCTCACCCGTATAGGGAACCTGGATGGAGTACCTGGCTTCTGCCTGGATCAACCCCGGCAACCGTGGCCGTTGGGAGAGTGAATCAACAGATGGAAAAGCTCTGTGTCCTTTTCTTCTCTGTAGCTCTGCCGTACAAGTACATCCATCCATATACTCATACAGATATACATACTAACATACATAAATCTTAATGGGTAGATCGGGTAGATTGGTGGCTGAAAGACAAAGGTGAGGATAAAATTTAAGATGCTTAGGACTCGCTGATCCAGGAGTCTCAATATCAGAAAGTCTTGTGTCCAGCAATGATGTGCAGCAGAGGTGTGAATTTGTCTGTGTGTCTGAGCTAGCCAGCTGGTCCATGCACACATGAGGCTTTCAGAAAGAGCATAACTTTCAGTAGAGTCCACCCAAATAGGACACCAGACACCAGCTTACAACTTATGCCTGTGAAATCACTGTGGCTATAGCAGAACACTGCTATATGCTGTCTCTTGGGCACTGGTTCTGAAGATGCCCAGATCTGTTTGTAGATAACCTCATATGGCGAGGGGGACTTTGCAGATCTGGTTAAGGCTATTGACATAGATCACGTGAATGAACCTATAGTGCTTAGAACCTGCAGAAATCAACATTAGCTTATGAAATTACTATTTACTCTTTGCATAGAAAAGACCAAAGGCCAGGAAAGGTTCAGTACCTTGTCCGGGGCATGAAGTTTGAGAACAAACCTGGAAACAGAACTCAGAGCCCTGACTCCTGGACTGTTTAGGGTTTTGTCATTACATTGCTACATCCTTGCTTTCCTACAAGATCTCGTCTTCGGAGTCAAAATGATGAATTAAAGTGCACCTCCTCCTATTAGGTTTAGTTATGGTTGAGAGCTATAATCACCCATGGTGTTCTCAGAACTTCTCAAGAAAAATGAAACATAAACCCAGGACCTCAGTGGAAATCTCATGTGTTTGTAAAGCAGCCAGCTTAGCAATGGAGTTTTCTCTGGTTATAGATCCATTATTTGTCCCCTGCAAACCTGACCCAGCATGAAGACAAAAAGACTAACACAAAACCAGACCACGTATCTGCTAGTGGAATTGCAAGGCTCTGGCCAAGAGCCAGTGAATGAGCATTCTGTAGAATTCTGTAAACCTAGGACTCTAAAACCCTGGCCCGACCTCGAAGGCGGATGCTTCATTTGAACACGTGGGACCTGTTCCAAACGTTCTCTCCCAAAACTCTAGTTTGATTTAAAACCCAGGCATTGCCAAACCGGCTCATAATGGTATGCATTCGTCGCTTACAAAAGCAAGAAGTCTTCTTATGAAAATAAACAGAAAGGGGCCAAAGAGCCTGTCAGAAGACCATTGCAGGTGGGGTAGGTAAGCTGCATTCCAGACCTGTGACACCAGCTTGCTCACCTCCAGTCTCCTCCACGCATGCACTTTATGCAGCCCTTGTCAGTGGAGCTCAACAATGCCTCGATGAGATTGCAAAGGAAGAGGCCTTTTTTTTTCTTTCCACCCTCACATTCAACATAGCACAACTCTGTGGCCACAGATCAGGATTTTTCTGTCTTTTATTTAAGATTTATTTTTATCGGAAAGCAGATTTACAGAGAGGAGTTACTGAGAAAAAAAATTTTTTTTCCATCCACTGATTCGCTCCCCAGATGGCCACAATGGCTGGAGCAGGTTCGATCTAAAATGAAGCCAGGAGCTTTCCCTAGGTCTCCCACGCAGGTGCAGGGTCCCAAGGCTTTGGGTCATCCTCCTGTGCTTTCCCAGGCCACAAGCAGGGAGCTGGATGGGAAGTGGAGCGGCCTGAACACAACCTGGCAACCCAGTGAGATCCTGGCACTTACAAGGAGGTAGAAAGGGGGGTTCTCCTGGGGTGGATGCGATGGCTGAATTGGCTAATCCTGTGCCAGACAGCGCTGGCATCCCATATGGGCACTCCCCATTAATATGCTTAGGAAAGCAACAAGTGATTGCCCATGTGCTTGGGCTCCTGCAATCGTGTGGAAGACCCAGAGGAAGCTACTGGCTCCTGGCTTTAGACTGGCCCATTTCCAGTCATTGTGGCCATTTGGGGAATGAAATCAGCTGACAGATCTCTCTCTCTCTCTCTCCCTTTTTCTCTCTCACTTACTCGCTCGCTATAATTGTGCCTTTCCAATAAATAAATACAAACCAGTTTCCAGGGCCCGGCGCTAAAGCCTAGTAGCTAAATCTTTGCCTTCAATGCGTTAAGACCCCATATGGGTGCCAGTTTGTGTCCCACTGCTTCACTTCCCATCCAGCTCCCTGCTTGTGGCCTGGAAAAGCAGCCGAGGACGGTACAAAGCCTTGGGACCCTGCACCCACATGGAAAACCTGAAAGAAGCTCCTGGCCCCTGGCTTCAGATCAGTTCAGCTCCAGCCATTGCGGCCATTTGAGGAGTAAATCAGCAGACAGATTTTCCTCTCAGTGTTTCCTTCTCTCTGTAAGTCTGCCTTGCCAATAACAATAATAAATCTTTTTTTTTCAAAGAAATTACTGCCAGTCTCCACCTCCCTTCTCAGAAATGGGTGGGCTGAGAGGCCTAACGCTCTAACCACTTGGTCCCCTGTCACCAGCCCTGCCCCGCCCTCATCATTGCCTTAGCATAGCCTCTAGTGTGGTGGAAAGGGTCTCTCCATCAATGACAAAAGTCACTGCTGCCACTAAGGAATTCCAAAAACCAAAAATACTTTCACTTACAGCACTTTCACTTACAGGTGTTTGAGGACAGGAGTCAGGCGTGAGGCTGCTCTTGAGGGCTTAGGAACACGGGCTATGTCAGGGAGCCAGACAGGCAGGTGTCTGGCCATGCATTCTGTCTGTAGCCTTTAAAAAAAAAAAAAGATTAATTTATTTTTATTGGAAAGGCAGATCCAGAGAGGAGCGAGAGAGATCTTCCATCCGCTGATTCACTCTCCAAGTGGCCGCAACAGTCAGAATTGAGCCAATCCCAAACCAGGAGCCAGGAGACTCTTCAGGTCTCCCGTGAGAGTACGGGATCCCAAGGCTTTGGGTTGTCCTCAGCTGCTTTTCCAGGCCACAAGCAAGAGCTGGATGGGAAGTGGAGCTGCTGGTACACGAACCCGCAGTGCCCACAGGGGATCCAAGCACTGGAAGTGGGGAGGATTAACCTAACAGAGGCATTGTGCCTGGGCTGTAAGACCTCGCCAAGGATGACGGTAGCATTTCTGGAGTGTCACAGAAGCCATTGCTCTCCAACCCGGGGCAGTGAAGAGGATCACCAATGGCAGCAAGCCCTAGATTCCACATACTGAACTAGCTACTCCATGGCCTTCAAGCAGCCATGCTCCTATCACCATGTTTTGGTCCGTGTGTACAAAGTAGTGTAAGACTGTAGCGGAGTTGACCAGTTGCACTCCACCAGCACTTTCGCAGTAACTGCATGACTCGAGACACAGATGCTCAGTGTTCTGCTAACATCTGTCTGAACCATCTTCACTATGCTCAGTGGGGTGGCCTGACAGCAAGAGGCCCCACTCTGACTTGGGTGTGTCGCAGTAGACTGTACCGCAAAAGCAGCGTTAGGAGCACTCTGATGAAATAAAATAGGGGGAAATCAGTAAGGGTGGGAGATCTGGGGCTAGGAGAGAGGAAATCCCAGAGCCTTTGGAGCTAGATCACAAAATTAATTCATTTTCATAAAAAATACTCTGGTATTTGTACAATGGCATTGCCCAACAACGCGTTTCCCAGAATGCATCCCTGTTGCTAAGCAACGCACAACTCTAACTTTTACTCTAAGTCCTCTTCTCAGATTCTAGGATGGAAAGTTCTTGCCAAGGACAGCTACAGTTCTGATATTTGCAGGGCCGGGTGGTGAAGAGCAAAGCTACAACTTAGAGCCCTCTTTACCCTTCAGACCTTCAAGGAGTCCCCGATTCCTTCTGGAAAGTTCTTATCGCCCATAGCCCTCATCGCAAAGGGAGAAGCAGACTACCCAAGAATGGCAGGCTAGTTGCCTTTCCCCAGAGCTTCGAAGAAGCCCAAAGCCTCTGTTGGTGTTCAGGCCCACAGTGCTGGCTGTTGGCGTATTCCAGGAACTTTATGCAGACATAAATGTTTGCAGTCTCCTCTGGGATGCCACTCCCACTCTCCCATGCGTCCATCACTAGGTGCCACCCATTGTCTGCCCCACCCCACCCCGACGCATCATAGCATGCCCTTGTTGTGATGTCTGTCTTGCTTCGGCTAAATGGCCCGCCAGGCCAACAAAAGTGTCATTTTGTAGACCCCATCCATTTATCATCACACGTCTAATAAAGGCCGTGCTGGTGCTGGTGGGTGTGGAAGAAGAAAAACTGCAGCCATTGTGCTCAGCACAAGGAGACTCCAGGCACATCCTCCCTGGGGCCATGAACCTCCCCGCGGTCTAACTGGATTTGCACGAAAAGAGCCAGGAGCCAGCTCCGGGGAGGCCGAGAAAGGCAAGAGGCCATGGTCCCCATGTTAGGCGGCCTGTGGGAAAGAAAGGGGCTTCTGTGAAGAGTCCCATGGAACGTTCATTCCCCTCGCCTGGGGCTGGGGAAGGACCGGCAGGGGGGAGGGAGGTGGAGGTCAGCCCTGCGTGACTTATGTGTGACTTATGTGACGTTGGGTGCCCTCCCTGGGCTTGAATTTGAGGAACTGAGGAGGCGCCCGTGGCCAGAGTCAGTCCCTCAGAGGCAGGATGGAAGAACTACGGGCACTGCCTCTGCCTCTCGCATCTACCAAGGCCGGGCAAATTAATGACCCACGGAGGATATGATATGGTGCAAAAACTTTTCCTGGATTTTTTCCGTAGGCGGCTGAGTCAGCGGCCAACCGCAGAGGAGTTGGAACAGAGAAACATTTTGAAACGTGAGTGCGCCACTGGTGTGGGGTGGGGGCTTCTTTGTCGTGGGACCCGAGGTCTCTGATTGTGCCTGTTCTGACACCGTGGAGAACTCAGCTGTGGCCTAGCCCGCATCCTTGGGTGCAGGAAGCCCAAGGCCCATCTGGGTCCACTTTGGCCCTGCCTGTTCTTTTAACTTGTGCTCAGCCTGCGTGTCCTTCCCTCCCATGAGTTAGCCGAGAGCACTTGAAAAAGTGGGTAGGGAAATAGAATGGAAAGATCCTGTGAATTCTCTATGAACATTTTAAATTCACTTCGTAGAGTCAGTGGGAAGTTGAGACAAACCCTCTTACTCAATGACTCGGAGGAGAGTCGGGTTCCCCTTGGAGCCAAATTATCTTGAAAATGCTGAATGTGAACTGGGCGGCTCCAATTACAGAAACAGTCCTGGAAAAATTTCCCCTTGGAAAACAAATTTCCCTTGGGGTTGTCTGTTGTGGATACAATTTCCCATCCACCTGGGTCTGAAGTGTTAAAGCTCAAGAAAGCTTTTGCAAGGGAAATGCTGTCCCGTGTCTGGCTCGGGGACCCCATCGCTGGCAGGTGTGTCTGCCTACCAGCACCCACCCACCCTCTCCTCCTGGGAGAACTGGCTCTCCCTGAGGCTGTGACAGGTGGAAATAAAGAGCCTCTTCCCTGGTCCGGGATACAAAGTATATTTGAATGGCAGAGAGAGACTCCACTTGGAGCTTAAAAAAAATCTTAACACAAAACACTAAATCTAACATTTATTTCATAGACATGAGTATGCCTCAGTTTAGAGGTGGATTTTATCTGATTCAAATATCTCACTAAAATAATTCCTGAGAGGGTCAACAATTTAAATAGCTCGAATCATTCGGTTGAACACCAACTCTGTTCTGGTGACCAAGCCTCGCTAATGCTTTCTTTCGGGGCTGTGTAAGTCATGCTGTAATCTCCCCCTAACTTTTCTTTTGAGAACTGAGTCCACGTGTATGCGTGGGCATGCACTCACACACACACGCTATCTCATCTGCAGGCTCAGTCTGGGGTGGCTAGGTGTCTGCAAGTCAGGTAAGCTGGGGTGTCCTCAGTCGCTCTTGCTCCCCAACCTCCTTGTCGTCTTGTGGCTCAGTCAGCACTGAGGCTTTGCTGAGGCTAGAAGTTTTGTTTGGGCCCAGCAGGCTGTGGGGGAGGTCAACATCACACAGCCCCAGTGGGCGCCCATCTGTTCGATGCTTACTAGGACCGGCTTCCTGCCTACCTCCCCTCCCCTGCCCCATGGTCACACCACTTCCCCCACACCCAGGAGAAGTTCATTTCAGCACTGGCCTTTCTCTGTTACTATGCCTTTGTTTGTTTTTTTTCCCTAACCACAAGCACCCTTACAGTTCTAAGTTTAATAGGCACATAACAGAACCGGCACTTTGCCAAGGCCCGCTCCACGATCACTGTGGAGAGCCGGAAAAGCCAACGGATGAACTGTGATTCCTAAGATGAGAAACCAGATGCACCTGCTTCCTCCTTCTCTCTGGGCCCCGTCATGCCTCTGTGGATGTGTGCAGGGTCTCATGGGACCAGCCCCAACACACAGGCACGTCATGCCTCTGTGGATGTGTGCAGGGTCTCATGGGACCAGCCCCAACACACAGGCCCATCATGCCTCTGTTAACGTGTGCAGGGTCTCATGGGACCAGCCCCAACACACAGGCCCGTCATGCCTCTGTTAACGTGTGCAGGGTCTCATGGGACCAGCCCCAACACACAGGCCCGTCATGCCTCTGTGGATGTGTGCAGGGTCTCATGGGACCAGTCCCAACACACAGGCAGGTCATGCCTCTGTGGATGTGTGCAGGGTCTCATGGGACCAGTCCCAACACACAGGCAGGTCATGCCTCTGTGGATGTGTGCAGGGTCTCATGGGACCAGCCCCAACACACAGGATTTACGCAGAGGCTGCAAACCTCCAGGGAGGGATCAGATGTGAACACTTAGTGCTTAACTCTGCAAGGGTGAGGTTTCTAGAGAGTGTCAGCCCCACTTCAGGTTTCCTGAGATCCCTGAGACGCGGTAGGCATGTCCCTTGTGGTTGGGTTTTTTTCCTCTGCCACTTACTGAGTAAACCCAGGGGCCCCCAGAGGGGTGCTCCCAAAGCTGGTTCACACGGTCCTCTTCCTTCTCACCCTGGCCAAGAAGCTGCCCACTGGGGAATTGCTCACCCATAGCCAAACAGCTTGTACACTTGTCCACAGCTTCAACATGTCTTAGAAATGTATTTATCTTTCTCCCAGGCTCTTGTTTTTGCCTGCCTTCTGGAACTTTCTTTTTTGGCTTTTTCAAATTGTGTCATGATCATCATCATCATCATTATTATTTCATAGGACCTGTTTTGCCAATCCAGACACGTCTGGTGGTGTAAGGGGCCATCCTCAAAGGATTTGTCCTCACACTTGTTTTCTGGGCTCCAGGCTCCCTGCAATGGTGGTGGTGGCAGGGAGGTGGGGGTTGGTTTCCAGCCCCCCCCCACCCCCCGCCTGAGCCCACTGGGGAGCCTGGCTTTGTCCAACAGCCAATAAACTGAACACACAATGCTTACACTCTGTGGGGGAGGGGAACGGCTTCCTGGTGATGACGTCACTGGCTTCTCCCTGCTTGCCTGATGGAGCTGTCTTAACCATTTTGCCCGGAAATCCAGGACACTGGGTTTGTAAATGGCTTAGAGCCATCAATGGCAGCTGTGGTTCCACGCTCAGTCGGCTCCGAGGGCTGCTGACCTCCGTGGCTGAGAAGCAGGCTGTTAATAAGGTCAGGAGTCTGAGGCCCATGTGCCACCAGTAACAAGAAAGGTGGGCCAGTCCCAAGCCAACCTGGAGAGTGGGATGCAGAGAGCAGCACTGTTAGCCAGCCGTGGTGGGTCAGTGCACTCCTAATGCTGTCCTGTCATCCTTAGCCAACCGAGAGTGGGGGCTGAGGTGGGCCCCGTTTTTCTCTCCGGGGGTTCTCCACCTGCCTCTGGGAAAGGCTCCCGGCTGTGTCCCTCCCACCTGTCTACCACTGCAGATTTAGCTGTCTGGGCTTTCCTTTTTCCCATTCTTGCTGTGTGCCTCCCAGTTTATTCTCTAACAGGCTAATCCATACTGAGTTGTCAATGGCTAACTAGTTCCATATAATTTGTTCCAGTAGAAAAATGTGCTTTTTTTCACAAATGTTACTCTCTGGGGTCTCCTGTCTTTGGATCTTGCTGTCCACTGCCCAATTTATCTCAGATGCTTAGTTCTTACTAAAATATTACTGGCTGACTGGATGAATGACATTTTGTCTAAGCAATGGGCATTTATCAAGGAGACTCTGTAAAGGGAGCCAGGATTGTTAAACCCAATGGAAAGGGTTCTTAGGGTAGAATATTCAGGCACTGTGGTGACCTCTTGGTGACCCCGTCTGAAGCAGGAAGTGGGCATTTCCTGTACAAAGATTTGACCCCTGCAGGCAGACAGGGCAGTGAGATTGTGACCCTATGGGTGTCACTTAATGTCCCAACTTCTGCTTTGAATTCCCACTGTACCAGCAGGAGGTGTCGTCACCTTCCTCGTGAGCTGGTTGTGGTGGTGGCGGTGGCGGTGGCTGCCCTCCACACTGGCACGGAAGGGAGGTCAGGGCAGGGGATCCCAGAGCCACCACCCTGTTTTTAATACACAAGGATCTCCCCCACTTTTAAAGACCCCGTTCCCTTCCCAAGACAGTCAGAAGCTACCAATGAATGGTACCAAAGCAACCAGTGATTCATTTATCAAAATGCAGTTGAACCATCTTGGTTTCAAAATGAGAGAATGTCCCCATGGGCAGTCCATGGAGCCTGTGCCTGATTCAGGCAGTGAGGTCAGGTCCTTTACCAGTGCTGTTGGAGATTCAGTGTTCCAGGGTCGCAACCTGCCTTCCTTCAGGCCAGACCATTGCATGTTGGTGTCTTTCTCTCCTAGAAACCAAGGGGTCCTAAGAAAGAACAGTGTTTCTAAATGAGCACCAACCTAGCCAAGGTCATCCAGCTTACCCCAAAGAAATGAACGTACATTCTCTGTCCTTCAGATCTCTGCTCCCCTCCCTAGACCCTCTTAACTTCCGGCTCTTAAAAAAATCTGATGAATTAAGTCAGCCACATATTAAGCCAAGAATGTGAAGGTTGTTCTGCTGAGACACTCCTTACAAGTCTGAGGGCAGGCAGTCATGTCCCACACCCTGGCCTCATACACCTTCTGTGGATTTCTTGGAAGATTCAAAGAATTCATGGACCAAGGGCTTGTGAAAGGTGAGCATTTGGAAATTGCTCGTGGAGGTAGCCAGCCTCTCGTTTGTCCTTAGCCATGCCCTGTTCTCTTTCTGTACCAAGTCCGGGCCAGTCCATGGCCCACGGTGCGCCAGAGACATGGTCCAGATCACAAGGAGCCCCCTTCAATCTCTGGGCAGCACAAAAGGGAGAGAGGGAGGCCCACGTCCTGTGAACAGCTGCTAGTGGCCCTCCCAGCAGCACTCCCACTCTGCAGACTCATTTCTCAAGGGACTTGAAGCCCCCACGGGACATAAAAACGAGAGGTCAGCCTGTCCCTATGCGAGAAGTTTGGAAAACATCCGATAGGCATGAGGGTGGCCCAGGAAGGGGCAGGAGCTCTCTCCTGCACTCTCTCTTCCCCTTTTCAGAAAAGTGCTTGGCCCAGAGTTTACCAGGGGTTGGAGGAGGCACCTCCCTAGGATACTGTGTGCCAGACTAAAATCATCTTAAATATTTCTTACAGCTCGGAATGAACAAGAGGAACAAGAGGAGAAAAGAGAGATCAAGAGAAGGCTAACGCGGAAGGTGAGACAGCTGTCTGTGCAAAGAGCTGGGATGGGCGAGGTGGGGACGCTGGCACACCTTAGCTTCTGTGGCCCTGGGCTCCCTGGGGCATCAGCTTCCCTCCCTGGCCATCAGCCCATGAGGCTCTCTGCCCTGCAAGACACCTGCAGGGCGTGTGACCAACTCAGCTTCCTAACCCTTAGTCCTTCTGGCACTCACCTGTTTTCAAACACCTGCGTGTCCACTGCATCACATTTTCAGTTACACTAAAGGCGTTCTTTTTAGAAATTCAGTCACCCCACCAAGCCACCAGAAATCGACTATGAAAATCAGTAGTTTGAATATCATGTGGCTATTTGTACCACCCTCAGAAAGAATGGGTCTTTTTCGGTTTCCCTGAATACAATTTTTCATTATTTATTAAGAACTATTTGGCCTTATTAAGCTAGGCCCAGTTTCGAAGATGCCAAAAGGATTGGTAAATGCAATCAAGACATTTGAAAATTCGTATAGGTAAAAGTCATACAGCTAACACTTTTGAGTATTTTTAACCCTTAAAGTAGATGGTTTTGCAGTGCCATCTGGTGCTGCCTGGGTCTCTCGCTGCAGCAGAGACCTAGTTACTAACAAACACTCTGTTGAGGCTTTTCTTTGGTGATATTGAAAGTTTAATTAATCGATGATACGCAGGATATTATAATCATCTTCGATCTTACTGGAGTGTTTTTAAGCAGCCTCCTACAGTGACCAGCTTGATAGAAAGATACTCAAATCTTCGCGATGGTTAAGAGGCTCATTAAAATGAGCTTTTAAAAGGTTTACTAGTGGATTTTTTTTCTCCCTAGAAATATGCCAAGAAAGAAACCCAAAGACCCTAAAATAGACCCATGATTAAGGTGATTGTATTTCTCTGTACCATTTGATTTCCTTGGACCATCTTAAACATCTAGTGATAAGCCGAAGGTCAGCCCAATTACAAAGGGAGTTAGGTATGCGTTTACCCCTGTGGTCAGCTGGTGTCACTCTACTGGGGCCTGGCACAAGCACTGCATCATGTCACCTTAGCCAGCGCCTCTCACCCCAATCCAGGCTAACTCCTAAGCAGCCCTAAGACCAGCCAGTCTCTGGACACAGTGCGTTTATTTCTCTGGTGAAGAGTGAGATGGATGGATGTCCTGCAGACGTGGGCTGGGTCAGAGGAACCAGTAACTGCTACCCCTCATTTCTGACGTCCAGACCTTCTGAAAAAACACTTCAAGCAGATTTTCATCAAGTTTGTTGAAATTGATTACCGAAACCTTCAAATCCGCCAACATGTTAAAATCGCTTGCTCAGAGATGAGAATAGAAAAATGCTTAGTCATTTATTTGGTTTTCAGTTCTTAAGAGATTATCTGATTTTGTTGAGAAAAGTGTGACTATTTGCAGAAGATGGTGACAGGTGAGGGAAGAGCACTCTTTTCCACCCCTTCTCCTCTGGCATAGATCACCCTAGGGATCATCTGAAGGTCCCCAAGGAGTGCCAAGGGTTTTTGTAGATCCACGAACTGCTCTCCCTCTAGTTCCCTCACCATGTTTCTCCCAGAGGAATGGCCTTATGAACTCCACATTTTTCCTGTCCCAGGAGGGGAAATTACAGGGCTGAACAAGGGGGGGATAACTGGAAGAGCCTGGCAGAATGGGGTGGTGGCAGCTTCCACATCTGTTGTCCGTCCACAGGGAGCCAGCTCCCTTGGCAGGCAGGGGAGTCCCTGCCACATCCTGGTTCCTGGCCAGGTCTTTTCTGCTTGAATCTTTGCCCTTGCAAGTACAAGCACAAGTGCCGATGGCTACTTTGCAGTCCTCTTCAGCCCAGAGATTTCCTCTGCAAAGTTTGAGGTTAGAAGGGAGAGACATTTAAAAATCACACCTACAGGCTGATCATGACAGCAACAAATTAATCCTTTTCTCCAAGCCATACTGAGACAATGCTAAAAGTATACTAAACCCTCGCCCTTCAAAGTAAAGCTAGTTAGCTAAATGGATGGGTGGACACATACATGAGGAAGGAGGGAGAGAAGGAAATGCATTTGGATTCAGGTTGTATTAGTAGTGGAACTTGGATTTCAGTGACTTTTTAAAAAAAGATTTACCTGAAACTCCATCCAGAACTCCCACCTGGGTGGCAGGGATCCACATACTTGGGCTGTCTTTTGCTACTTTGCCAGGGTCGTTAGCAAAAAGCTGGATTAGAAGTGGGAGCATCCAGGACAGGAAGCGGTGCCCATTTGGGATGTAGCCTTGCAGGTGGCAGTTTAACCCACTGTATCACAGTACCAAGCTGTCAGTTACTCTGGTTCAGCGTATTTGATTGCACATGTTATTCCTGCTGCCATCAGCAAATGCTACAAATCGCTGTTCCTTTTTCCTTGGCCCTTCATCTCCAGGCAGCCTAACTTTGCAGCAGTAATGAGAAACATTTTCGCAGCATCCAAATAAAGCCCTCAGTTTCCAGGTGCCTCAAGAGCTGCCACCAACCACAGTCAGAGGCTCATCATGTGAGCGCCCCCCTGCTCAGGGGAGAGTCCCCGTGGCTCCTCGTTAGCACTGAAGTGCCTACTCGTTCTGTTGTCAGCAGTCGCTGACTGCAATCTTTTCCCTTTAGCACATGGCACACAGCCTTACTGATTGGGAGATGGGGTGGCTAAGGCCCCATTGGATACAGGCCTTAAGTGGGGAGAGGGGTCCCTGACTCTGAAGGCTCACATTGAGGTTTCTGGTCACTTCACTGCTCCACAGACACGGCAGAGGGTCAGTCCAGGTCATGTTCACAAGAAGCAGAATTCTAAAGTCTGACCTTAGCGGCCTTTCTGGTATCCTAGCGCATTCACTGAGCAACACAGAGTTTGTCCATTGACTTGGGACAAATTCTGTTGGTCCCAAGAGATACAAACTGGGGGTTTTTTTTGAGTAGGAATCTGCTTCTCTGGGACAAATATGATAAATATTACATTGTTAATTATAGTACAAAATCTCCCTGTACTCATCGGCTTTTAAGGTTTCTTTGCAAGGTAAAAGGAGAGACAAAGAAAAAGATCTTTCATCCACTGGTTCACTTCCCTGGAAGTGATTGCCAGGCTTGAGCCAGGACAAAGCCTGGAGCCTGGAGCTCTATCCAGGTCTCCCATGTTGGTAACTTGGGCCATGTTCCACTGCTTTCCCAGTAGCATTAGCAGGGATCTGGATTGGAACGGTTATAGCCAGGACTCCAACCAATGTTCAGCTTTAGGATGCCAACATTGCAGGCAGCAGCTCAGCCTACTGTGTCACAATGCCAGATTTTGGCACTCGACACAACATTTTGGGGTTAGATGATGCCATCTTTAATACATAGTGTCACTCCCGCCATATAGCCTTGGGAAACCCCTGGCTTCCTGGGACACCCCAGCACTAATGCCAACATGCCATGCCCCAGGAAAACCAAGGCCTCCTCAGGACAGACTAGAACCATCCAGAGAACAGCTGTGTGCAATTCCAGACAAGTAGGCCAGCTCCAGAGCCCATGAGACCTCTGCTCCCAGAGCATCCCACCATGGACATAAAAGGTGCTGCCCCACCATCTGCCTTGGTCCTGTCCAGGGCCTCATGGTACTCACCATCTGTCTGTTCAATACCAGCTGGGCTGTCATTTCCTCATGCTGTGCTGAAGTGGTAGCCAGTTGGAGCATTTCAATACTGGCCAGAGGCATCTAGCAGCTGCGTGATTTAGAATGAAAACAGCCAGAGTGGTTCAGACTCTGTGTGTGTGTGTGTGCGCGCGCGCGTGCAAAGTCTCACAAACCCATTTTACAGAGTGCACTGAATTTATCACACACAGGTAGACCCACACATCAAAATTAAGTCAGTGTCATTGTATAAAGTTCCTGTCACCTGGCAGGAATAACACTGCCCCAAGGATACACAGTAGGCATCCAGAGTCCCATAGGATAGGCTGCTTCTAAAGCAAAGAGCAGTGAGCTGGACAAAGGTAGACCAGCTGTGTCTCTGGCTGGGCCTAGGGTTGTGTCCTAGAGATCTGTGAGAATCCTGGAGATACCCAAGTTCTTGGAGTTCACGGCCTTAGCTTCCTCATCGGAGGGTCCTGCCACACAGATTGTAATGTGCACATTGCCTTTCTGGGCCTCATTTTGCACATGTACAAGTTCACAGTTGTCTCCGACTGATGTGGGATCCCCCTCCCTCTCCTTCCCCACAGCTAAGTCAGAGGCCCACGGTGGAAGAACTCCGGGAACGGAAGATCCTTATCCGCTTCAGTGACTATGTGGAAGTGGCTGACGCGCAGGACTATGACCGCCGGGCAGACAAGCCATGGACCCGCCTCACTGCTGCCGACAAAGTGAGTCCAGGAGGCCGGGAAAGGGGCTGGGGCTTACCAACCCATCAAAGCAGGAATCCAAGTGGGCTTCTAGTCTAGCCCAGTCATCGTGAGGACATAGAGAGCTATGGAGCCTTTAACAATACAGCTCAAGAACCGGCATTGTGGCCCAGCTGGTTATGCTACCTCCCGTGACACCAACATCCCATATGGGTTCCAATATGAATCCCAACTGCTCTCTCTCATCCAGCCCAAGTAGGCAGGCATTTGAGGTAACTGTTCAAGATGCCTTCTGGCACACCAGCATCCCGTATTACAGTACCTGGGTTCTGTGCCCATCCCTACCTCCTCATGCCGGTTTCCCCTGGGAGGGTCACATAATTGCACTCCTGTCTCCCAAAGGGGAGACCCGGATTGAGTTCTCCAGTTCCTGGCTTCAGTCTTTGCCCAGCCCTGGTCATTACAGCATTTGAGGAGTGAACAAGCTGATGGGAGTTCTGTCTGTCAGTACTCTGATTTTTTTTTTTAATGAACCCAGAGCAACAATTGTACCCAACTTGTGACTAGCAGGAGAGACTTAGGAGGGGAAGAATGGAACAGGATGGCACAGTAGGTCTCTCTAGCAGTGGTTGCTCCTTCAGAGACTGAGCAGGTGGTGGTGGAGACACTGGAACTATCTCCTGCCTTCCTCCACTCCAGGGAGACATATGTCCCCTTTCCTACACCCTAGGGGGAGATCTACTGTCCAGGTTAGCAGGGTCAATGCATCCTGGGGGTCACAGGTGCAGGAAGCTGCTACACTTAGTGAGTCTGCAGTAGCCAGAGGCAGAAAGACTGCTCCCCAAGTGGCTTCTCTGTACATACATTCATTCATTCTTCCCTGGGCACAACTCACCATGCAGGTGGACGCAGTGCCCCAGAAAGTGTATCATCTAGATGGGAACGGAGGAAAGCGCTTAGACTTGTTGCCTGCCCCCTTTAAAAATATATTTATTTCTTTATTTGAAAGGTAGAGTGACAGAGAAAGGTCTTCCATCTGCTGGTTCACTCCCTAAATTGCTGTTAACAACCAGGCAGAAGCCAGAAGCTTGGAATTCTGTCTGGGTTTCTTCCATGTGAGTGGTGGGAGATCAAGCACTTGGACCAGCTTCTGCCATTGCTAGGAGCATTAGCAGCAAGCTGGATTTAAAAAAAAAAAACTGGAGGCTTGAACCGACACTCATGTAGCATGCCAGCCTGGTGGCTTAAATCCCTGTGCCACAGGGCCAGCCCTCTCTTGTTTGCTTTTGTTCATGCTGTCTCTGCAGTCTTCTTGCAGGGTTCAGGGTATTGGCAAGTGCGCAAAGGCAAATATGAGAGGGCTACACTTACACCAGGCCAGCATTCTGCGTGGCTCTTAGGTGACCCATGCATTCGGCTGGTGCCTGTTGGGGGTGCTACCCAGGTGCTTAAGTCCAAGTGAGGCTTCATTTCCTAGGGAGAGGCACACTGGTCCCACCTGAAGACTTTTCCTTCCTCAGATTCTTGATGTCTTGGTACACCCACCCAACAAATTCCCGCCCCGGATAGGCTATGCAGGAGGACCCATGTTGGCTGCATCTACTCCAGTGAGGCTGCCCAAATGCCAACCATCCTGCACCAGTTGCCATACTCGTTCTGCTTCTTCATTGGCATACTTTGCTGTCCGACTTCTCAGTCCTCCCGCCACCCCTGGCGGCAGCCACATGTGTGATTAAGGAGGAGGTTCTTTAAGATTGTCTCAAAACACACAAGGTATTTCTGGAAAAGAGTTATTTATTTGAAAGGCAGAATGGCAATGAGACTTCTATCTGCTGCATCACTCCCTCAAATGGCTACAATGGCTAGGACTGGTCCAGGCTGAAGCCAGGAACTCCATCTGGGTCTCCCACATGAATGCAGGTGCCCAAAGTACCTGGGCCATTCTGGGGAGGGAACTGGATCAGATATGGAGCAGCTGGGATTAGAACCAGTACCCAGAAGAGATGCTGGTACTGGGAGTGGTAGCTTAATGTACTGCACCACCATGCTGCCTCCATGTGTAAGATTCTAAATAGAAATCCCTTACCGTGAGATGTATTCTTTCGGCTTCAGTGAAGTTAGGGGGAGCCAAGTTCTCTTGCAGTTCAAAAGGGAAGTGGCCCCTGGCCATTCCCTCTTCCCTTTTCTGGAAGTATCCATCTGAAAGCATTGTGTACCCATTGTGAACTCACTTAGCTTTTTGTTTGTTTTTTTACCTAAGGAACAAGAATTAACACTTTTAAATGTTTTATTTCTCCAGTCTACAACCATTGCTTAAAGCATTTTTCTTAATTATTTAAGAAACAGAAAGGGGGACATACAACTTATATTTGCTAATTCATTCCCTCAAATGCCCAAAACAGCCTGGAGCCTGGACCTCGATCCAGGTCTCCCAGGTGGTGGCAGGATCCTAGTGCCCTGAGCCGTCACTGCTGTCCTACCAGGTCTGCGTTAGCAGGGAGCTGGAGGCAGGAGCCAGATACTGAGCCCAGGTCCTCCCGTGCAGGAGCCTTTGGCCCAAGACCAAACATCCTCCCCAGAAACTACCATTTAAATGGCATTGCCAACACTAGGGAACTTAGCATCTTCTGAAGGACAACAGCCAAGACTCCATATCCCATATGGGAGTGCGTGGTTTGAATTCCAGCCTCACTTCTGATTCCAGCTTCCTGCTGATGTATATATCCTGGGAGACAACAGGTAATGGCTTAAAGTAGTGTCTCTACCACACACGTGGGAGAGCCTGGTTGAGTTCCTGGCTCTTGGTCCTCACCTGGCCCAGCCCTAGTTTACACATTAGTGTGACTTTGTGGAAGGAAAGTATGTTGTTACAAGTGAAATAAAAGAGACCCCCATCTCCCTCTCTCCCTTCTGTGTTTTGATGATCACGTCCTGATTTCAGGCTGCCATCCGGAAGGAGCTCAATGAATTCAAAAGCACTGAGATGGAAGTTCATGAGTTGAGTAGGCACTTAACAAGGTCAGTATTGAGGTTTTAGGGTTTCTCCTCCTTTGTCTTTGCCTCTCAAACAGAAACATTCACTTCCAAATGGAACTCTTGGTTAGGCTCCAGGGTGGGCCACAGGTGGTTTGAGTGTATGCCTGGGGCAAGAAGAAAGAGTTCAGGGTGAAGTTCCTCTCTGGGTTGCTGAGGGCTCAGACGCCATAACCTCCTGAAAGCCTGGTTCTAATCCAAGCCTGAGGGTTGCCAGGCTGCCAGTAACCCCAAAGAAGGTTTTCATGAAAACTTGTGCGGAGGGGAAAAATGATCATTGCCAGTTTACTGTCAACCAGCTTAAGCCAAACCTAGGCAAAATTCCAAAGCCACATGTGATTCCAATGTGTCTTCATGTCTCTTGTTCCATCCCATTTTCCCCAGCAGTTCTACCTGGTGATGCTCGGGGCAAACTGGGACATAGGTCAAGTAGAGGGCTTCTGGGAAGATCATGGGGCTGGTCAGTTGGCAAAGCCATTGACTTTATTGTCCCACCTGCCTCCCTCGATCACCATTGGCAGACATGGGACTCACTGAGTAGTTAGTACCAGGTCTCCAGGTCTGTGCCTGTTGCTGAGTTCCGAGTGACAGTGCAGACCTCTGCCACCAGGGATCTCCTTGGGGGGGCAGGCTGCGGAATCTCTGGCACTGCCAAAATTGGGCATCCTGAGGATGGATTGGCTGGCTGTTCCAGCCAGCACCTTTGGCAGCCCCTCAGTCTTGACTTCATTCCTTGTTTTCCTAGGTTCCACCGACCTTAACAGTCAATTTCCTCTTGAGTGCTATGCTGTCTTCAAAACATAAATTTATAAGAACCATAAGTGCTGGTATTTATTCACTTCCCCATTATGATGTAAATCTTCTAAACTGCCTTTTTAAAAAAGAAAAAGAAGAAGAAGAAGAAAAAAAATAAAAGGAAACACAATCAGGATTCTCTGTGTAGAAAAAGCAATGGTGACCGCTCTGTGGTCGGAGCTGCCGGCGCCAATTCTGATACAGAAACCGTGTCCACCCTCAGCGGGACCCTGACCGAAGACTTTCCCAGCATCTTTCCCAGCAGGCTCCAAGTTCTCATCCTCTCGCGTGAACCTCCTCGAGATTGTCTCCTGAGGCCAAAGAAAGCAGAGGCTGTGGGTCTGGCCTGGACAGGACGGTGCAAAAACAGTTATGACCTGGTTGGCTTTTCCAAACTCTGCCCAGTGTACCAGCTCCACTGGGGTCATCTTGATGGCAATGGGGAGGGGGAGGGGTCCTTAAAAGGGTGGTGCATAGTTGCAAGGAGCACTTCTCAGCTGTCCCTGCCTTTTTTCTTCCTTACACCACTATCTGCACAGGAGTGGATCTGGCACTTACATACACACACACACATGCACACGCACACACTCACACACAGAGCTGTTGCTGAGCTCATTCTTAGGGTTAGAGCATAAGAGCACGAAGGACCCTGCTCGGCCGATGATCCTCATCCCCGTGCCCTCCAGGGCCAGCCACTCTATGGCTTGTGGGTTAGCGGCTTCTAAATGTAGGACCTTTGCACACAGGCCAGCAACCATTCCTGTAGGTCTGGCTCCCCAGCTGGGAGCAGCTGGAACTCTGGAGCTCTCCACTGGCCTTCCATTCTCCTTTTCTTGCACTGTAGAGTGTCTAGGGAGAAGCCCTGGAGCTCAGCAGGTGCCAGAGCCAGGCGAGCACCAGCCATGCCTCCTTGAGGCATACATCTCTGTTCCAGCCTATCCAGAGAGAATTACTCCATCTCTCTGCTCTCTGACTCAATGCAGGTTAGGGTGATGAGACCCTCTGCCCTAGGATCACATGTGGCAGGGACATGAAGGGTCCCCCTAGGGAAAGGACAGTCCTAGTCCTTCCTAGGCATCCTTCCCTGCCGCAGCCTCTCCCTGCTAGCCGAGCCCACGGGCCTTGGCAGCCAGCTCTGCCCAGCCTTCCAAGTGGTTCTCAAGTTGCCATGGCCTCTCTCAGTGCAGGCTCATTGTACCCTCCCAGGATTTTAACAGATGCCACAAAGAGTAATCTTTGGGTATATACCCATTGGTGAGGCCATGTGGTTTTCTGTGGCCAGGGATGACCCTCGTGGCCAACACTGAACCCTGAACCAGACAGAGTTTAGGTTGAGCTCAGGGCAGCTCTCAGGCAGTGCCCACCCCTCACCACCAGTCCACGCTCCCCAAAACCACCTCTGCCCAGCTCAGAAGGATGCATCGTTGGATCCCATCTTCCCTTTGAATGTGGTTTCTGAATAGTTCCTGCCAGGGTGAGAGGAGGTGTTGTTCAGGGAAAATACCGTTGGGATTTTAGCAGGGCTTTGATCATAGCCTTCTGGAAAGGCTTACTGACGTTTGAATGTGCACATGATGATATGATGGAAGGAGCAGGGCTCTTTCGTTGAACTTGTCCACAGCAGGTGAGCGAGCATGTGTTCTAGGCGGAGACTGACTTGGGCTCAGGGTCTAGCCTTCCTCTTTACTCCAGGAGCACCCAGTGCCCAGGGGTGACAGTCAGGCCTTTTACTAGCTGGGAACAGATCACAAGGGAGTTCTTCATGTCATTGACCTTGACTCCCCTGGCAAAGACCCAGCGTTTCTCTGCTGGCCTCAGTTCTTGGGCCTTCAGGTTCCCCAGGAACCTAAGGACCAGGTGCTTCTCCGCTACAGCCAGCAGGCAGCCCAGCTCTGTCAGCCCAGAGCGCTCCACTCCAGTGCTGCCATGCACTTTGTACATGGAAGAAATGGAGCACCACTTCTGTTTATTTTTGTAGCGCTCACTCACTCGGGGTCAAGGGTGCACCTGCCAGGCCAGTGCAAAGTTACCCCCCCTTTAGGGCAGGTCCTCTCACATAGGCTCAGGCACCTCTGTGGTCCCAGTGGACCACAGAATAGGGTGGGTTGGGGGGGACTGCTGTTTCTTAAAACCTTCACATCTTCCTGGAAATCTGGCCCTTCTTCATTTTTTGCCATATGGTTATGGTGATGAAACAATTTGTATTCCTTTCCAAGATAACTTGACCATTAATTAGGGAAAAGAGAATCAGAAAAGAGAGGAGAATTGGATAACTTAGAATGTATCCTCTTCCTGGAAAAGATACAAGTTTTCTTGTTTCTTTGAGGAAAATTCTCAAGTGGTTTGTTAGATTCACATGAGAGGAAAATTATTCAGTGTCTCCAATCAGATGCCCCCTGCTCCCAGTCAGATGTTGTCCCAGATACCTCTTTCCCCCAGAAGACTCTGTCTGCCACCACTGGCTTTTTCCCCAACTGCTGATGCAGGATTTGTTATTTCAAGGGCTCTCCATGCTAGGTAGAAGACCCGAGCCTTCCTGGCAGATGAGAGAACCCAAACAGTGCAAGGGAAGACAGTGCTGCAAAGCTGAGTTTCTTTTTCTCCCGCTTAGGAACTTGTGTTGATATTTGCCAAATGAAACTTGTGGTGTGTTGCATTGAGGAATGCAAATCCCAGGCCCTCTCTGTGCACAGCCAGTGGGCAAAGGCCACTCCCGATGACCCTTCCTTCCCATCTGTCTCTTCATCCCCAAACGGGTTGCATTTTCCAGTTGCTTCCCCGGGCGTCTGTATATAGTTTGTCTTTGTATAGGAGTGAGTGTGGTGACTATCAGTCCCGGGCTCTCCATTAGCAGAGGACGGCTGCCTGTGGAAGACACTGTATATAGAAAATAAATGAAACTGGATCTCTATGGCCTAGGTTTTGTACATATAGAAACTGCATGGTATTTAAATTATTGTTTGTCTCTGATGATGTATGCAGTTTCTTTAAAAACAAACAAAGTCTTAAAAAAAAAAACTTGACTCGCGTGTTTTATCTACTATGAGCAGGAACCCACCAAAAAGACTCACTTTGGGCTGGGGAGATGGCGGCGGGCAGGGAGGGAGATGAAGCATCGCAAAATAGAATCAGAAATAAGAAGGAAGCCTTATTGTCTGGTATTACAGTGGGAAAGAAGCAATACACATATGATACTTTACATATCTATATAAAAATATGCACACAGTTATAACATGCATAAGATAACACAGGTAATGTACAGACATTAACTTTCTAGAAGACTTTATGAAAATATATAAAATGTATTACTGGAGCATGTGTTCCACAACGATCTGGAGACACATCTAGCACTGGGTTTGCTGCCTCGGGGGCACCTCAGTAGTGTCAGAGCCGCCATGCCTGAGCAGCCCTTGGGACATCACTGCCCCTAAGCAGAAGGTCAGACTACTCCGCCACTGGCATACAGGGAATCTTGTATGCTCACCGGTTGCTTCACCCTCAACCAAGACTATTGGAAAGATCTATGTCTGTCTTCAACATATGCAGGCTTTTCCTGTCATGCCCTAGATAAACCTGGTATGCCAGCTATGTCCATAGTAATAGACTGATAGTGGCTTTTTCATTATTATAATGACTTATCTGTGGCAGACTCATACAGAGGTTTGAGTTGGCTCATGGTTTTAGATGGGCTAAGTCTAGGGGCCTTACCTGGTGGTAGCCTGCATGCTGACAGAGTCCTCAGATGACTCATAGCTTGCTCTAATGAGAGATGGGAACACACGTATGTTGATTCAGCTCTCCTTATAAAGCCACTAGGATTTAGCCATGGCAGGGTCAGGGAGCGACTCCACCCCCCATGTCCCAACCCAATCTAATCTCTTCCCAGAAACCTTGACACTAAACACCACGGTAAGATTAAGCTTCTACCTGTTAACGCCACTAACATCAGACACGTACGACTTGCAGCCTTAGGTTCCTATCTGAGTGCAGGACTGGGGGTGGGGCACATTGTGTTCAAACAGTGGCAGCACTGTAGGTAATCAAGATACGCAGAAGTGCACAGGAAGATGGGTAGTCTCCAAGGACTCAGATATGTGGGCATCAACCCCGCTGATCCCAAGGACTGCCTTTCTTGAGACAGCTTGAGTATTTGTCCCCTAAGGAGCAGTTTTAGCACCTGACCTCTGCTTATCCACACATCTTGTGGGAGGTTTGAGGGGGAGCAAAGGGGCTGCTGTGCTTGCTGGCTGTGTTGTAAGTGGCTGAAGTAGTTGGATGCCTCATGCCTGATTGTGACAGAGGAAGGGTGCTGCGGTGAGGGACTGCCGGAATTGTGCCTTGCATGGAAATCTCCTGGGGAGCTGACAAAAGGGCAGACACCGGCTCAGTAGTTACAATGAGGCATGGGAGTCTGCGTTTCCAACAAAGTCGTGGAGCCTCACACTTCAGATGCCCCCCATTCCACACCGCAGTAACCCAACTCTGTGACTTGGTTACTGACTTCCTGGAGCGAGTGCCCCTGGGAGACAGCGGTCATGACTCAAGGGTTGGGTCCCTGCCCCTCACAGGGGTCCCCTACTAGAATGAGTTCCCCACACCTGGCCTCAGCCTAGCCCAGTCCCGGCTGCTGTGGACATCTATGGAGCGAGACAGCAGATAAAAAGTGTGTCTGCCTCCCGAACCATGTTTTGGAATTTTTTTTCTTTTCAGAGAGGAGAAGAGGGCCTTGTTTAATGAATGAGTTTGTAGAAGAAGATGGAACAGTAAATCACAAAAACAGAAGTAGTCATTTTTCCTCAAGTTCTGGGCAGCACAGTCAAGATGCAGTTTTCTTGGAGCTCCTGGCCTCCTCCCTCCTCTTGATCCAAGGTTTTCTTGAGACTTTGCATCCACAGGGTCTCCCAGGGGCTGTGTTTCCTGCACGGCAACACCATCACTGATAAGGTTCTATTGTGGGGAGAAAGTGGGGAGGGGGAATGCTATGGTATTCCTTCATGCCCAAGGATGTTGTCCCAGATGTGTTGTCCCTTGGAGGGGTCAGGTGCATGCATGAGAGGCTCTTGCTGTGTGAGACCTGTGAATTCCGAGGGAGTGAGCCAGCCTTTCCAGCCACACAGGCAAAAACGCTCTGCACATCAATTGCATGTCTGATCTCAGAAAGTTCCCCTCCGCCCCAACCTGTGGCAGGAAGCAAGGTCTTAATCAGCAACCCATGGTCAGTCCCTGGCATCCCATGGGCCTGCCAGACAAACAAACCCACTGGGAGCAGTACAAGTGTGAGGACACGTCAGGGCTTTTTGCCTCCACACAAGAGCCCGGGTTTAGCCACAGCAAAATCCCCAGTGTCCTGGCTTCATGGTGACATCCCAGAGTTAACAGGGTAAAAACACCGCCTGACAGGAGGTCGACCTTGTTCCCTCGCATGTGCTGCCAGGTTGTTGGGGGGTGGGAGAGAAGGGAGGCGTTGCCTGAGCTCTCCCTGGCCTGAGCGTCAAGGTCAAGAGCTCGGGAGTTGGTGGAAATGCTTGTGCTTTCTCCAAACAACATCACACTCCATGTACATGAATGCCAAAAGTGGCCCTTGGCCCAAGCCCTCTGGTTACCAGGAGGCAGTGGAGCTCGGCCACCGTGGCACACCCAGTGTCCCCTCACTGCTGCATCAGCATTGCTCACTGACACAGCAACCCTCAACACCATGCCCTGCACCCGACGTGATGATGTTTCATTCCCATTTCACAGGCAAGGGAGCTGAGGCTTCAAAAGAACACACTCCCCCAACCAGGAAATAGGACTGTGCTAGCAGTCCCACCAAGGGTGCTAACACTGAGTTAAACCGGGGATGTGCTATGGACAGACAACCAGAATGCCTAAGACTGCAAGCCGCTGGGCTGCTATCTTTGACCCTGGACAACCCTCAAGGCCTCCCAGAATCTCCCTTGTCTTTCTCTTTGCACCGGGTCATCTGCGGCCTCCCACCAGCTTTGACATTCCTCAGGGTCAGACATGCCTGCCCTGTGGTCTTGAAATCACTCAGCCTTGGCCACTGCCTACCCTAGAGGGCCTTTATTCAGGCGCACCCAACTGCCAACCAGTCTGGCTGGAGCCCAGGTTGGCAGTCCAACAACCCAGATGTTGGGCCCCATTGGGCAAGAGGGTGGTGCACACAGCCTCCTGGGTGGTCAGTGGCAGACAAACACAGCTGCTGCCAGCCATGCGTTACTCAGGAGGAGAGGGAGACACCAGGCAAAGCTGACTGCCTGTCTTCAGCTGTCTGGAATGGAATAGACTGGGGATGAATGTTCATAGAGAGAACCCCAGCTGTGTGAGGCAGTGCTGCCAGGAAGATATGCCTCTGCTATGCCCAGCTGCACCCCGCTGGAAGCCAGGAGGCAGCACTGCACTGAGGCCTGGTCAAAAGGCTAGGCTCATGCTTCTTCAAAGCCCTGTCTAGGACACAAATCTGGAGGCCTGGGAGCTTGTGACGCTGTCCTCACAGTCCCCAGTGGACCCTCTCTCCAGGCCCCTCAGGAGGCATGGAGGCTACTGGGAGCCATGTGCTTACTGCACTGAGCCCTCCATCCTCATGGCCACTGGTGCATCACAGCCCCACACCCAAGCTGAGACAGCCTCTTCTCCTGGTTTGAAGAATTGGGGCCTAAAAACTGTCCAGGGGTTGAACCTATAGCAGATACATTTAGAATCTCAGGATTAGGCATTCCAGATGACAGGGAGAGGAAAGCAAATTCAGACAATAACCACGCATGGACCTTTCTCTAGTCCCAATCTAGATTTCAACCACCTCTCCTGAGGTTTCGGTCTTACCCTAGTGCCCTATGGTAAAGGCTGGCTCTGTTACTTGTCATCAAGGATTCTCCTTCAACACTGAGCCAGGCATTCAGGATTCAGCAGATTTCCAGGTGGAGCCCATGTGGCCAGGAGATGTGCCAGGCTGAAAAGGGAAAGCAAAGAACACTGGCACTAGGACGCAGCAGGCCGTAGCACCCTGCAATGCTGGAATCCCAAATCAAATCCTCAGCTCAGGTACCTGCTGCTCTGCTTCTGACCCAGCCCCCTCTCGTGTGCCTAGGAGAGCAGCAACAGATAGTCCAAGTTCTTGGACTTTGCACTAGTGTGGGAGACCCAGATGGAGCTCCAGCCTCCCGACTTTGGTGCAGACCTGGCCATTGTAGCCATTTGGGGGAGTAAACCAGTGGACGGAAGATACATGGAAAACTTTCTCTCATTCTGCCTCTCAAATACATAAACCTGGACAAAACAAAAATCGCTGGACCCCTTCCCTCATGGAGATCACAGGCTGGTGCAGATCCAGACAGGTCTTCCTAAACCAGTGTTAAATGTGGCGCATGGGACACCAACAGACAGATGTGGCAGAAAACCAGCCTGCAGCTGAAGGCTGGAGAGTCATCTGAAGTAAGGGCTGTGAGAGGCAGAGGGGTGAGCAGATGTGGCCTGCAGGAGCAAGGATGCTCCTGGCCCAAGGACAGGGTGTCCAGGGGCAGGCAGTGTGGATTCAAGAACAAACACACACGCTAGACGCAGCCCACGGCCTCAAGAAGCTCCAGTTGCAGGCAACGCCATAGAGAGTTCACTAAAGGCTGAAGAAATCAAAGAGACTGCTCAATGGGTGACACCTGCACTTGGCAGAGGGCCGCGCCAAGGAAGATTAAAAACACTTTCAGCTGCGAAGTCTCGGGAGCCTTTTCAGAGAGTGAAGGAGCCGTGTGAGGCCTGGATGCACAGGGCAGAAACAGACCAAGGCCAGGCCAAGTCCTGCTCTGGCAGAGGCTGCTGCTCCTGTAAGTGCATACCGTCCCCCGGAGCTCTCCTCAAGTGTTCCCACGTGCAACACACGAGGAACAGAACTGCTGGTGTATGACAAGAAAACTAAGGCGTCGGCTGAGTGACTAGCTTGGGCCCCAGAATTCCTTCCCCCATCCCAGGTTCTTGCTGACCCTTCTGCTGTTAATAAGGATGGGGGCAGCACCTGCAGTCACCTGCT